TGTCAAAATTAAAAAGAAAAATTCCTCAAGGACCCAAAATATGGGACCAATAGAGGGGACAAGTGAGGTGTCTCCCTCCTATTGGATAATGAGTTGGCCATCATTAATGATGGCCAACTCATTATCCAATAGGAGGGAGACACCTCACTTGTCCCCTCTATTGGTCCCATATTTTGGGTCCCTGTAGCAAAGCTCTATTATCTTAACTAGGCTAAATTTGAACCATATAAAGTTTGGTTAAAAAAAACTATTTTAGGGGCGAAATCATAGACTAGAAATTACTAGTTCAATTTAGGCCTAACTTTTGCCAAACAAAAAAACAAAAAATTAAATTAAAATTGTACCACCTAAAATAAGTTTTGTGAAGCTGCTAAACACACGCTAATGTTAGGTTGGGGGTGGATACCAGAAAGTTCTCTGGTTATAAATAAGCAAGGCAAAAAAGAGCTTTTCTCCGCTTCTCGAAAACGAGCACCGATGTGGGAGAAGATATGATGCTCAAGCCTTGCGACGACCAACACGAGCCATGAAACCTGTTTTGATCTGCGCAACGGACCGTGAAGAACCACACTGCAAGAAAGCATACAAGTCACAGATTAAGGATAACACTAGCATTCAATAATAACATACTGTCTAAATAGCTAGAGGGATGTTTTTTGGTTTTCCATTTATACCCAATCCTATTACCTCCGTTCTACATTCTAACTTAATGATATTTGTTTTGGATTAAGGGTATTTTGCCAATGGTCCAAATTTCAGCTTCCACCGTTCAACACAATCCTCATTCTCACCCTTTCTCGGCCATTTGAGGACAAAAAAAAGGGACTAATGGGACTGTGGACATGGCATTAAGTGAGAGAATTGAAGGAGGTGAAGGAGGGTGCGTGTTGATGGGACTAGAAGCATATCATTGGGTGAGGGAGGTGTTCAACATTTTGAGGACAATAAAAAGAGGGAAGATGGTAGGATTGGGTGAGGGAGGGTAAGTGTGATCAAGGAAGACGGTGGGAGCGCGGGAGTAGTCAGCATTTGTTTGGGGGAGAGGGGAAAAAAGCAGATAAAAGGAGAAGAGGCTAAGGTGATTGAATCCCAAATCTTTCAGCAAAAGAGAAAAGTCATCTTCAAAGATCACCAACATCAAAGAGAAGAAGAACTGGCTGAAGGGGAACAACTTCAAAAGTAAATATCATTCCAAAGAATTACAGCCACTTAAGCAAATAACTAATGAAAATTATTGTGTGGGGGTTACTTCCTTCTACTTCTACCAAATTGTATGACCACTCTCTCTATCATTGGCCATTTTGAGATTTCACAGTTGCAAACTTGTTTCTAGCAATGAACTACTGATGCTTGAAAGTACTATGTGAGTTTTGCTTGTACGGAGCTAGAGTTAAAGTTGATTGGTGATGACTAATTTTGCAACATTACTTCAGATTTTCTGCAAGGTACTCATAAAGCCTTGCAGTTGCTTTCATGCGCCAAGGGATAAAATATTCATCTTACTCAATGTTGTGTAGTGTTAATATTATGATTACTAATGTGTCTCATTCTGACCATTTTCTATAAGCTGAACTTATTAAGTCTTACTTCAGCGTTGAAATCAACCTGACTTTCAACACTTATAATTATTGAGGAGAAATCATCGATTTGTTTGCATAGAGCATGAATTGTCCACTTTCCCTCGCGTCACGCGGGGATTATCTGCTAGTATAAAACTAAAGTTCAACATATAATAAAGAGAGAATCAAGAAATCAAAAGTTTCTTGGACAATTTATCTTCAGGTTAATTTGTGCATAGGTAACCTGTACTATAGCTTATCACCCAATTAAGGATAAATCCCCTGTAGTTCTATTGTTGTAGATAGACCCCGAGTGAATTTTTTTTGTATCTTTTACCTCAGATGGTCTATTTGTCGTGAAACAGATTTCTCATCCTCTAAGGTAACAGAGTCAAAGAGAGAGAGAGAGAGAGAGAGAGAGAGAGAGAGAGAGAGAGAGAGAGAGAGAGAGAGAGACTCAGGGGTTTATCTGCATCAACAGAATTATAAGATTCGACAAATAATAAAGAGAGAATCAAGAAATCAAAAGTTTCTTGGACAATTTTCTTCAGGTTAATGTGTGCATAGAAAACCTGTATTATAGCTTATCACCCAATTAAGGATAAAACCTCAGTAGTTCTATTGTTGCAGATAGAAGAGAGAGAGAGAGAGAGAGAGAGAGAGAGAGAGACTCAGGGGTTTATCTGCATCAACAGAATTATAAGATTCGACAAATAATAAAGAGAGAATCAAGAAATCAAAAGTTTCTTGGACAATTTTCTTCAGGTTAATGTGTGCATAGAAAACCTGTATTATAGCTTATCACCCAATTAAGGATAAAACCTCAGTAGTTCTATTGTTGCAGATAGAACCTGAGTGAAATTTTTTTGTATCTTTTACCTCAGATGGTCTATTTGTCATGAAACAGTTTTCTCATCCTCTGATGGTAACAGAGTTGGGGGAAAAAGATAAAAGAAAAAAAGACACTCAGGGGGTTTATCTGCATCAACAGAATTATAGGAAGACCACCCGCAATTTGGTGATAGTAAGGGGTCTTTCCACGATTAATCCTTTTTTAATAACTATCTCACGAATTCAGAGAAAGCGAAGGGAGATGACAGGTTCTGCAATTGTGAATAATAATAACAAAAAAGATTTAAGGAATCACCTGCTCACACCGAAGAAAGAACAGCCGATTCTCCTTGGAAAGTATAGTATCCGCACTTTTGCAGCCATTGCATATGACATATTCATCTGGAGAAAGGTGTAAGTCATATGAACAAGTAGCATTAAGGACGTAATAAATACACAAGAATGAACACATGATATCAAGTGATTCAGTAACCAGAGAAGCTTAAATAATCACCAACCCAGAGATACCACCTTGAGCTACTCAGATATTAGCCCATTATAAGAACTTTGAAACTGATAAATGAGACAGTAACATTTTCACTATTATGTTTCTATTCAAAAAACATATTTGTCAAGGTTCACCAAAATTAAGAATGTTGTTTTCGACCTGACTTTTCACATTTGTTCTGACCAAAACTTGCTTCCTGTGATCAGACAAGCAGGCCATCCAAAACTACAGAATCATATTCAATGAACCAGAAAATTTGATATGTAGTTGAACCAAAGTTGTCAGTTATTAACCCTAACACCTTATATATCTGATAGCTACCTACAGAAAATCTTCTACAAAACCTTGAAATAGGAATAGATTGTACAATCAAAGCTTTACTTAAATACAGAGAAGAACCATTTGTGTTCAGTCCATTGATGAAATGGTTTAGTGTCAAGATAGGAAGGTTGATGATAAAATGAAGGCAAAAATACTTCAGTTTGTGATTATACATTTTGGACGAACTGATTTAAGAATGCTTTTGGACGAACAATTGAGATAAGAGGAACGTTTACATAGGACATTTACCACAAACAATTTGGGTGCCAATATGATGATTTCATCCATTAAATGTCTCGTAAACTTTCAGAAGAATGGAAAAGTGGTCAACTTAAAAGATTTGGGAGCAAACTTATGAAATAAGCATGGTAAACAGACACAGTAATACACAACGATTGTGCGAGAAAATTTAAGAGTATCTCAGACACAAGATTTGTGCAAATACTAGATGGATTTCGCTTGCCGATATAGATCGTCATTCATGAATACTCCAATCATTAAGAATAATTCAGGAAATCATAGGAATATGGAAACTAATGAACTTTTGATGAAGGTCACAGTTAAAGTTTAAAAGAAAGAATAATACATAGAAAATTGAAAATACTCTATAATTTTCTTCGCCGCTTCTAAAATTGTATCTTGACATCAATAATTAAAATTAAAAATACTCAAGAACATCTTTTATTCTTCCATCTTTCGTAAATTAGCGAGAAAATTTGGAATTAAATCCACAATTGACTAGTAAGAAGTCACTTTTTCCTCGCAAAGATCATTACATTGATACTAGTGGAGATGTTTTTAGGTCGAAAGACCCAGTTTCATTTTGAAGTTCATACTTCATACTTATTAAAAGTTCATGACCTACACTTCCATTGGACACATTATTGATACTCTTAAACACACTCTATAAAGCTCTTAGAAAAGTTTCAATAAAGGGTCCACTTGACAGATGATTGCTGATGACACAGGTAAAAGACAATTGACTAGGGGATAGATGCGGAAACAGGACAGACAATACATGGATATGACAAATCCTAAGGCCCAAGGATTGGCATGGACACAGCAAAGATATGAGCAAACCATGAAGTACTAGGCCGCTATACATTGGAAAAATAGGTAACTGAACTTTAATCGTAGCTAAAGCATCATACAATTGAGTTAGCAAACAAAAATTTTCAGATTTTACAGAGCATTTGTCATGGCAGAATTGGGATCTTCAGATGGTATGAAGAGAGAACTAATCATGCTAGCAGAAACCATCAAGAATTCAACACCATAAGCACAAATTTAAGTGGATTTTTTTAAGACAAGTCATCCACATGATTCAGGGAAAAGAGCAAAAAGCCAGAAACCAAGACTATAAAAGTAGCACATATCATGATAACAAAAAAGGCAAAAGGAAAGAAATGTATTGTATTTTTTAAAAGAAAAGTGACTGGCTTTCCTGTTTGCAAACTCAAAGGATACCCTCCAAACATACTTGAATAGAAGCAACTAAGATGTATATGATCGTGGTTTTAATGGGGAAGATCGCTCCTAAGGGAACTCAATGGAGGAAAGGATTCATGTCGCTACCCAAACTTTTTGGATAAAGGACTTGTTTTTTGTTGTCTTATATATCTGCAAGGTAGCCTTAAAACTACCGTCGTAAAGATGTCATATGAACATCCTTAACATTCTTAAAGGGAACTCAGTGGAAGAAAAGGATTCAGGTAGCTGACTCAAAAGTTGTTGGATAAAGATCTTGTTTTGTTGCTGTATATATCTGCAAGGTAGCCTGTAAATTGCCGTTATAAAGATGTCATACGAATATTTAAAGCATTAACATCGTAAGTAATTTTAGTTCATCTCGGTAATCATCAGGACTAGCTCTGATATGGCTGAAAGGCAGATAAAACATTCCCACATCCATGTTTTAAAAAGCTCTCGCCTAGGCCTAGGCAGTCCGCTCGCCTAGGGCTTGGGCGCAGCTAGAGCAGCGGATACTGCTTATGTGGACTGTATGGCTTAGGACTTTGTCGTGAGCTCCTCTATTGCTGCTTCCAGGTCCTCTAACCTTCTCCGAACTCCTCCAGCTGCCTCCATTGACTACGAAAACCTCCTCCAGCTCCTCCAGACTTCAACAAAACCTCCTCCAACACCACTTAAAAAAGTCCTCCTAGGACTAGCGCCTTGGCGCTAGACACAAGTTTAGCACCAAGTGTTGCCTAGCACTTTCTATAACATTGATTGTAACCAAAAATTAAAAAATAGAAAAACGCATAGGCTCAGCCTTGGTTCACGCCTAGGCTATAGGCGCTAGGTTCGACGCCTAGGCTGCCTAGCACTATTTGTAACCTTGCCCACATCATCAGAGGGGTGGAACATAGGCATTTACAATGAAGGACGAACATCAAATGATTGGCAGGACAGTGAAGTTATTGAAAAATGAAACCAGGATCATACAGCTCAAGAAGCAGATTCAGAATATATAAGGGTATTTTGCAGAAAAAACAAGAATAGTAAGGAGAGACAGATGTACCGTAAGATAAAATTAAAACAAAAAACATCAAAGAATCTGCATATCTTTGAATTAACTGCAAAGAATTTCAAAGGAACACCAGAGAAAATGTATGAAAATGTGCTAAAGTAATTGGCAAGGACCAGACATGAGAAGCGTGAATTAGTGTTGTCATGACTAAAGAAAGATAGTGTCAATATCATCCCATCAGCAACAACAATTACATCCATAAGGCTTTTAGTACCAAATGAGGTTACTGCAAGGCATACCATCAAAATTTGACGAAAGTGCAGATATTATTATGTTAAAGCACATCAACTACTACAGTGAGATGTTGAGTTCACATTTAAGAGTTAGAATTTGAGCTTACTGTACATGTCATGCCTTAATAGTTTTGATGCTGTGTGTGTGGGCAAATGTTTCATTATTACCATGAGTTATCTGTTTATCCTTAAGAAAGGAACCCATTGCTTCCCCTGGTTAAAACTTTGTTCAAACTTCTCCACCCAACATGAAGAACTCCTAAAAGGTATAAGGATATATGAAGAAAGTTATATGTGACTTTAATAAGACCTATATGTTAGAATGTTGTTCCTCTATGCGCGTGGGAATAATATGTAACTGAAACCACAGTAATTAAGAAGAAATATACAGAAAACAAGAACATAACAAAGTCAAGTAAACACAATTGAAAGCACAGACATGCACACTGAAAGATGGATAGAGAGAGAAAGCAAGAGAGCTTACTGATGTATTTTCTCAGAATACTCTCAAAATTTTTAGGAGCAAATCTTCCCTTAACAACCAACCTCTGCTGTCCATCAAGCGATCCATTTGTACCCAGCTCAGCCAGCAAGAATGTCATGACATGTTCCGGCTGCCTATGCATCCTGAGAATTGAAGGAAATAATTAATAAAAATAATAATAACATCTAAATGAATCGAGAACGGTTACCAACATGCAATGGATTTCTCACTTTTCAGCATTGCAGATCATGTGAATGAGTTTTAAGGTTCAGTTTATAAACTCTCATAATTTAGCATAGAAAACCGGAGAACTATGCCTATGGCTCAATGCACAGAATATAACGTCTGCATAATAAAATGTTTCAAATATGATTCACAAGCGTGAAATCAAGCATACCCAGAAGACCTTGACCAGTTGACCCTAACAGAGAGCCAGTTTCATGGTATGAATACAAAGAGGAACTTCCTAAAATTAACAGGAGTTTCACAACAAATAAAATACTAACATGATGCCCATAGAGAAGACAACAATTTCAATTCAATACCAACTGGAATCAAACCGCAGTTAGCAACTATTGAATAAGGTAAATGTGCATGAGGCATAAAATGGGGCAACTCTAGTAACCTGTTGACAAATGGGCTCGGAATGCCTATCAGCCTTTGACCCTCACATATCTATGACCCAGCAAATAAAACCCATTCCATCATCTAAAACCCTAACCAAAATTAGGAAAAGCGCTAGGCGGCCCAGGCATTGGATCCGACGCCTAGCGTCTGGGCGGGGCCTAGACGGTTTTCCTATTTTTTATTTTTTACTTGCAATAATTGATAGTAAATATCAATGTTATAGAAAGCTTAGGTGTCGGACTAGCGCTTAAACGGATTCCTTTCCTTCATTTAACTGGTGATGGAGAAGGTTCTGCTGAAGGTCGGAGGAGGTAGAGGTGTTCATAGTTGGAGGCTTGAGGAGTTTGGAGGAGGTTAGAGGACGTGGAGGCTGCAAAGGAGGAAATCACAATCAAGACCTAAATGGTGCAGTCCATATAAGCAAACCATGCTCCCTAGGCTCTCCCAAAACCTAGGTGGGCAGCCTAAATACCGTCTAGACGCTAGGCGACTGACCAAGGTAGCGCCTACGCCTAAGTGTACGCCTAGGTGGGCTAGGCGAAGCCGCAGAGGCTTTCTAAAACATTGATCCTAGCCCTAGTCTTTTTCTACAGCCTAACTGTTCTCCTCACAAAAATACAAACTTTTTGCTGATTCCAGAATCAAGGTTTTGAGAAATTAACTCCACAACTATTTCCATTCTACTACAATTTTGTACCTACATGTCTGCACTCAATTAGAATTGTGGCACATAACTTATTGTGTGTCAAATCCTTCTTTGATTTTTAGAGTCTGACTTTTTGCATGCATCCAGATCGCTCAAGTTAGATTTTTGTTGAATTATTGTGCTTATGTTCATGTAACTTCATTTCATTGAGCTTGTGGTTCTAATTTAGTGAAAGCGGCAGTTAAGTGTGATTGTAGGATCCGTAAAAATCTGAATCTCAAATCTTGTTTCTTAGTGTAATTATGTACTTTAATGCTTCTAATTTTAGTGAATAATATATGCTAGTCATAACTAGCACTTATGCATATAGACAAAAAGGCAACAACTTTGTGCAATACGATGATTAGGACAATTAAGGTGAAAACTGACTTGGAACTTGAGCTTGAACCCCCACCCCCACCCACCCCTCACCCCCAACAAACACAAACATAAACAAAGCACGTGCATGTACACGAACACTAGGGGGGGAGCAGAAACTCACATCAATAAAAAAAGCAAACCAACACATAGAAAGCACTTTGTCTCCAAATGAACCCTTTGGTTCTATCAGTTGACAAGTTATAACAATCCTGACAATTATATATTAGTAACTACTTAGCCAATCAACACCTGATATAAGCTAACTATGCCTCAACATGCAATCTAGTCAACCAGCCGAAGGATTATGCCATTCGCATTACCGAAATAACAAATTGACCTCAGTTTGGGTTTCAGAGGTCTGGTCTGGATAGGACTAACCACTGACCCACCGAAAGCAATCAAGGTGCAGAGATGGTTGAAGTGTTTCAATGCATCAAGTAGTCAAAAGTATGAAGAAGGGTGTGCAAGTTTGCTACTTAAGAAACTGATACAAAGAACATCCTCTGGCCTATGAAGTAATTTCATGCTATAGTATTGAGAATGTTGCATAAGGTTTTTGTAATCGTGTTTGGGCCACAATAACAATGTCACTGGTAATCAAATTCCTCCAATTATCATGATAATGCCACTGGCCGCAGCATCAGGGTCAATAAAAAAATCCCTTAGAAATCCATGATTTTTTTCCATGAGTTACTCAGATGCCAGTCCTAGTACAAATACAAAAGTTCTGTCATTAGCATGGTAACCCACCTTCAATACTGCTCAACAAATTCTTTCATGGACAACAAGGATCATGGCTACATAGAGAGGATTTTTTTTCTTTCTTCTTATTCTAAAACTCAGTTAGATGCCTTTAAATTAGATAATGTTAGCTCCTTTAAGAAAAAGAGTAACAACCATTTTGATACTCATTTTTCATTGACCTAGTTATCCTTCTAAAACGAGCACTTCCTCCTGCTAAATTTCTTTCCCAGATTTATGATGAAGAAGAATAAGATAACTAGAACAAAAGATAATAAATAAAGTGTCATATTATAAGAAAGAGAAATAAATAAACATCCTTGCAAAGGCATAAGCATAATCAGTTTACTAAGACAAAGCAAGTCACATGGAAATGATTTAACAGCAAAATTGGAATTTATAGACTTATATTAAAGAAAATCGAAACATACGTCTTGCATAAATCCATGAAATTTGCAAAGACAGTCTTCTTAGTTCCTTCTCTAAGAACTTGCGGAGGCCTCATAATTGTCCTTCGCCTATCTCCAGCAAGATCTGGATTATTCTCACGCAATATATTGAACACTCTGCCCAGAAGCTGCTTAATAAAAGCATGGACGTCAGTTTTCTGATCATATCCTTCGCCGAATGCAGAAAGAAAAGCAAGAATCAACAAAGAGACAATGTAAAACCTCATCATGACACATCTAAGCAGAGGTAAACAAATTGTTCGATTAGTAAAAGTAATATATGCTAAAATCAAAGACAAGCTTCAAATAGTATGCCAGTTTGACTGATAAGGAATGGGCTTGTTAAGTTCCTGCCTAACATATCACTAACTAAACCTAGTCAGAAAGATTCTGAAATATAAAACATTCAATGGTCTCATCTCATTAAAAAAAAGAAGAAAACAAAGTTGACAATCCTTTCAGCCATACAAGAATGTCCGAAGTTGTAAACTTTCTGGGATCTGGTTAGAGTGATAATAATGTATAAAAGGCGGACCTCTTCATAATGATAGTCTCGGTCAGTGCCTTCCCAAGGATACCGGGTACCTCCCAATTCAATGCCCTCTCCTTGCTCTTCCTCTCCAAAATGATCCCCTAAATAACATATTAAAAAAAGTGAGTTTCCAATTAGTCCTGCTACAAACAAATTATTTCCAGTCACTAGAGTGAACAATAAACAGATCCTATAGTCCTGAAGGAAGTTAACTTTAGAAATTTTTGGCCAGAAATTATTTAATTATGAATGCTTACCATTGCCATCCTCACCGCCATCACCATTTTCATCTTCAAGGAAGTCAGTTTCCACCTAAAGGAGATCACGGAATAGTTATTAGCTACACCACAGGTAACATGAAGAGTATATAGCATATTTAAATATAATACTCCAGGAAATTAAGATGCATACTAACCTGCTTTTTCTTCTTCTTCTTCGTTCCAACAAAACTAGGTTCAACATCAGCAACTGCATGGGAGACAAATATAAATTCTCATACCCCAACATCACCAGATATCAGATTTAATCAAGTTCTCATATGGGTTTTTAATGGAAGTAAACCTGACAGATCTTCCGCTTTCTCAGCCAGCTTATCTATCTCTTCAGATGGATCTTGAACTACTACTTTCTTCTTTTTCTTCTTTTTTGTTGGATCGAAGGGTGTAAGCTACAATTTAATGCCCAATGGTAAGTAATACAAAAGCATAAGTTGTACACAGATAATTTTTTCCCTGGAAATTATGTAAAAGGGAAAAATAAAAAACACCAATTTTTCAGATAAACTAGAGCAAAGCCGTGCTTTTTTCAACAACTTCAACATAAACTAAAGCCCAAAATGAAACTTAATTAACTTGAAAACTAGTTCATTCCAGAAAAAACCTCTCCAAACAGGGAGCTAATACTATATATAAATGCAGACCTTGGGGAAAAAAAGGGGAAAACCTAAAAGTACTATGTCTGACAATTTTTCCCAAGGGAATTTTGGACTGGTTACTCTAGAAGCTTTAGAAAGATGTGATTAACAGTGCCATTTTTCCATCTAATACTTGTTCCTTTTCCGGATAAATAATGTAGTCCATAATTTATATGCCTTGATCCCCCCNTTTTCCCTTAGCCCCCCCCCCCCAACTTCCTTCTTCTCTTGACAAGTACTTGGCCAATTTGAATTTTATTATTGAAACTACTTCATTTTCTCCACTTTTTAGATAAATATTGCCACATATTTGATTTAAATAAACTAAAAGCAGCTTTTTTCTGAAAGCAATTTGTTCCTTTGAATATTCATAGTTTTTTAATATTCACAAAATACAATTACGTTTCACTGTAGATTTTCTGAAGTCTTTTCTTTTCTAAAAATGCATAATTAAAAGATAAATACAATTGAAAGACCTACAGTTATGGGGTAAAGGGCTTAGGAAAAATTCCTTTTGGGCAAATTTCCATCAAAGATTTATTTTCACTCCCTATTTCTATCAAGGAGGTGAAGAAATCCTAATCCATGTATAACTAAATCAATATTTATTCCAATATACAACAAACTCAAATCAAAAGGGCACGAGAAACTTTTACCTCGGGGATCTCACTTGGTGCATCATCCGCCATATTCACCGAAGCCTAAAGTCCAAATAAAATCTGAACAAAATACCAAGATAACAATTAAGAATTACGAAAGGCCAACATAGCCAAATCAAGTTCTTACTATAAGCCAATCACTAAACCCAAGATCAGAACTTCAACCCTAAAAAACAAAAAAGCCGATGCCTGAAGTTTAGAAATTGGTTCTATCCCTGAATCCCTGGCAAAATCGACGGATAAACCCCAACTTAGGGCAAAAAAAGATGGGGAACCCTAAAAGATTCAATTTTTCCGTAATATAATATCAAATAAGAATTAAAAGTACCTTTAACTAATTGAAATCGCAAGAACTAGCAGCCGCCAAGGAGAGAAAAAGGGTTAGGAACTTACTCGGGGGTTTTTGATGAGAGAATGGGGCTACTTGAGACCGTGGTAGCTTTATATCGAAGTCCAGAGCAAAAACACTTTTTTTACAGCGGTATATATATCGGATTGGGATCCTCTTCTAATAAATATTGTTCCTAATATCTTTTAATAAATAAATTTTAACATTTGATTTTATCAATCAAAGGCCAAGATCTCATCCTTATCCTCCCTCTATTTTTGTTCATGAGAAGATCTTGACCTTTAATTGATAAATCAAAGGCCAAGATTCCATTAAGAGATATTAGGAACCTCCTTATTAGTAGAGGATCCCAATTATATATCTGTGTGTCGAGTAAATTTGTTAGGAGACAGGGCATTTTGGCAATATTCTTTCTCACGTCCCTTTTAGGACACGGAATAAGGATAGTTTAGTAATTAAAATATGGATAAAAACATATTTTCAATTGGTTATACATATGATTATTTTTCTCAAGCCTTTCCACTTTTATTTCATTTCCTTTCAAACTTTCTGAAAAGATAAAATTCCATAAACTTCTTTTCTTCCTTTCCTTGAAAGGCTGCATCAATTAATTTTAGTAAGTTTAGTTTTTTTTTTCTATAAAAATTGTGTACACATAAAATAACATGAATCCAATGGTTTCTATGTCTTTTTTTAGAGTTAGAAAACATGTTCGGAATTAAACACATAATTTTCCTTGGGAAAAATAGTACACGAAAAACATTTTGATAATATTGAGATAGATTTAAATAAAATTTTCATCCTTTCTTAGATTACTATAAATAAAAATTTTTATTTATTTTAAAATTTAGTGTAGTTATATTGTATGGATAAAATTCTCCATTTGATTTTTATTGTTTCCATTGAAGGTTATCCCGATAAAATAATTAGGTGCTTTGTATTTTTATCTTTTTTTTGTTCTAATTTATGAAAGTTTATTGTCTTCATGCAAAGACGGATCAATGTGAAAATATATTTGCACCGAAAAAGAAGTGCAAAGAACCAAATAATTAACAAATAGTTCGATAATTGTTCGAAAAAGTATTCGGTCATATTCGATTCGGTAGTTCATTTACCACTAAACAAATATTTTTTAGTATTCGAGTTTACTAACGAATAGAATTTAACCAGATGTATATTCGATTCGTTTGTCTATTAAATATTCGTTTAAAATTTGATCACATCATATTACTTGTATTATTGCACATATGGTATCATATTTTTAACCTACATACCATTTCTACTTGAGCTTTATATCCTGATTTTAAGACTTAAATAATCTTAAATCTGATTTCTAATTAAAATTTTGATTTAAATATATATACATCATATATTATAAAGGAATAAATTTTATTTATGAATTCAAATACTATTTCAAAATCAAATTCTTTAGCGGAATAAATATACTTTGATATTCGATAAGTATTCGTGAATATTCATGAATATTTATCAAATACCAAGTATTCGAGTTCGAATTCGAAAACTAGATATATGAATTTTAGAGTCCACATTCGAATTCAATAATTTTAAACAAATACAAATACGAACATCTTAGTATTCGATTCGATTCGATCGTTTACCACCCCTAGGAATAGATGAGAGAAATAAATTGAGCAAACATGGGAAGAAAAAAGTATTTCCCTATCCCTACATAAAAATTAGGATAAAATTTCAAAATAGACCCCTTTAAAATTTTATTTTCAAAAAACAAGCTTTTTTAAAAATATTTATCATTTTCGACTCAGTTTTAACGAGGTGACTAAAACTAAGTCGAAAATGACAAATATTTTTAAAAGAGATCGTTCTTTAAAAATAAATTTCTAAATGAGTCTATTTTTAAATTTTTACTTAAAGTTTTCAGTATATATTTGACAATTATCAATTTAGATTTTTTAAAGATTACTATCCGAGGTCGGAAGCACTTCTCATTTCCTAAAAGGTTGGTCTTGGGCTTTGGCTATAATTTGGCCGCTCACCTCAAAATTGTTGGTCTCAATTACGTTTATTATACAGCTTGGGCTGGCTCAAATTTGGGCTGGCAACTATATTTCCCTGACTACATCTAGATAGCTATAATTGGGTCCATCCAGTAATTGCTCTTTTGGGCTGGTCACGGCACTAACTTGACCAAAGACGAGAGCATTACGGCTGTAATACTTTTGAGTAGAGACATGAAAATTGAGGGATCGTATGAACACGTATCTCTCGTTGGTTTTCACAAGAAAATATTTTGCAATTGTTTTGTCTTACAGTACAAAAGTAGATCACATCTTTTTTATCCGAAAGAACTAGTCTTTTTACCAAACATAATTTAACCCCTTCTCCAAGTTACTGCTCCTATCATATACGAGTGTAAAAAGTAGTGTTCTTATCCAAGTTGGATGAGTTACCAAACAAATCCTTACTCTTTATAGTCTAATTATTAGTGCTCATTATTTATTGAGGTGGTGTCATATGGCAGCTAAGGTTTTAAAACATTTCCAAGGTCTGTAGTTGCAAAATAAATGCAATGATATGACAGAATTAATTACACCCTTGTAAACTTTTGAGGAGTTATAGTAAACTTTCATCAACTTTTTTTTATTAGGCCTAGGGGTGGAAATGAACCAAATAATTAACAAATAGTTCGATAATTGTTCGAAAAAATATTCGGTCATATTCGATTCGGTAGTTCATTTACCACTAAACAAATATTTTTTAGTATTCGAGTTTACTAACGAATAGAATTTAACCAGATGTATATTCGATTCGTTTGTCTATTAAATATTCGTTTAAAATTTGATCACATCATATTACTTGTATAGTTGTATTATTGCACATATGATGTCATATTTTTAACCTACATATTATTTCTACTTGAGCTTTATATCCTGATTTTAAGACTTAAATAATCTTAAATCTGTTTTCTAATTAAAATTTTGATTTAAATATATATACATCATATATTATGAAGGAATAAATTTTATTTATGAATTTAAATACTATTTGAAAATCAAATTCTTTAGCGGAATAAATATACTTTGATATTCGATAAGTATTCGTGAATATTCATGAATATTTATCAAATACCAAGTATTCGAGTTCGAATTCGAAAAACTAGATATATGAATTTTAGAGTCCACATTCGAATTCGATAATTTTAAACAAATACGAATACGAACATCTTATTATTCGATTCGATTCGATCGTTTACCACCCCTAATTAGGCCTAACCGCTTTGAACTTTAGGAGGTACTGCACATAACCCCTCGGGAACTCCTTTATTTCAGCATATCTTACTCGAAAATTTATTTTTTTCATATCCATATTAGCACCATCAATTCGAAGTGTCACTAGTAAGCACAAGGAAAAAAGAGATGAAAAATTACCTCTTAATCTAAAAATATAATATTTAGTTATAATATAATATAATTTATTATAACTTATTTATTAAACTATATGGTAATATATTATAATAATAATGATATAATTTTCTATAATATTATGATACAATATATGACATTATCAATGACATTGATTGTAATATAGAATTATAATATAACACAATATATTACCACATATATTGTATTATATTACATTGTATTGTATTAATAGTATTAAACATTTTAAAACTATATTGTGGTAATATATCATATTATAATATATTAAAAGTATTTTATTAATTATATTGTTACTATATTATATTAATTATAATTATTTTACTATTATATTATATTAATTAACAGCATTATACATATTTATTATAAATCATGTTGACTCCAATAAATTATATAATATTTTAATATGAAATTATTCTAATTTTTTATTATGTAATATTATATTATTATATAATATTGGTTAATATATATGTTAAGTTAATAGTATGTAAATCATGGTAAGTCCAAGGAATATGATATTGTAATATGACGCCACATCATTAATTATCCCACTTAAATTATCTCAATCCCAATTATCTCATCATTCCAATGTATACCACTTTGTCCCACTCAAATTGTCCTAGTGGGTTAAAGTTTTCCTATTAGGGCCCGTTTGGATAATGAAAATATTGGAAGTAATAAGTAGGTTATAGAAATAACTTTCAAAACTATGAAGTAGGAAGTAGTGGAAATAAAATTTTTTTTTGTTTGTTTCATATATTTTTAGAAGTAATGGAAGTATAACTTCTTCCTCTTCATTTACTTTTTTTGTTTGGATAACATTTGGAAATATTACTAGGAAATAATTTTATCAATGAAAATTTGTTAGAAGTAACTAATAAAGGAAATATTAAAAAAAATTATTTATTTCCTAATTAATATGCATTTCAACTACTTCCGAGCTACTTCTGAGTATTGAGGATTGGAAAAATATTTTAGAAATAAGGATGACACGTAGGCGCCACATAAGCGTTTAAGGAAGTATTGGAAGTAAATTTTCAAAGAACCAAACATACTTTTTTGCTTGGAAGTAACAAAAGTAGCATCTACCTTTTTTACTTCAGCTACTTCATAATTAGTTCGGTGCAAACAAACATACCTTTAGACAAATATCTCATTTGGTTCCAAATTATCCCAACGAATAACTCCCTTCCCGGCCCTCTGACCACCATAGAGTAAATATCTTACAACAGTTTTTCTCGAAAGAAAGTTTGTTGTTTGCAAATCCTTAGGTTAATTTTTTTTTTTTAGTGAAAATAGGGGTTTCTCTATCAATATATTACTGAAGCCCAAGGTGGGATGGAACAAAAAATGATATCTACTACTGATTCAGGCTGCTGCTCCGAGGTGGAGAACAAGGCCAAATCCTTAGGTTAATTTGGACGGAGTAAATTTGAAAATTAAATCAAAACAATTGTCTACGGTTGTACAAAAATCAAACTAAAGCAATTGAGATTCCTTCGTCACTTGCTGGTGGATAGGCCGCAAACTTAACTCATGGACACTTCGAAATAAGAGGAGGATATAAAAGTTTAGATAGTTTTCATGCTGCTCATAGTTCAGATGATAATATTATATTGATTAGATAAAATCTAAGGTAGATAATGTCTTGATTAAG